ATCTAATGTAAGATGCTCAGGGCGCTTGAAATGTGGACTAGGAACTCGATCAATGACTTTCTTCGCCCCTAAGGGTCCCTTCGTGTCTGTGCTACCCGGTAACCCGGTACCAGCAACTCTCGTCGTCCACCACAGGGGTTGTCTGTAGACATACATTATATATATTATATATATATATACAGTGTGTATATATATATATATACAGTGTGTATGCATATGTATATAATGTATGTATGTATATGTATGTGTATATGTATGTATGTATATATTATGTAGAAGAAGTTATCTAGCCTTTCTCAAACAAAGCTGCATGTTTAACAAACAAACAAAGACAAATGATATACGTAATTATAATGTGCCTTTGGAAAAATATATTTCTTCACAATGAAATACTTCTATGCAACAAATTCCATTCATTCACCAAACTGTCTACTTAAATCATAAACCGCTAAATATATATCTTCATAATTACAGTACAAAATATTTCAAAAACATACGTACACAACAACCCCTACAACAACCATATTTCCTTTAATATCACTGTACGCGACATCACACCTTTTCTAACTGTTATGTGAACATAACAAAAAAGCTCTGTGATGATGTATACAACTACTATAAAGTTAAACTTTTTTTTTATGCTCAATACATGTAACAACACCCCACACAACCTCCACTCACTAACAGCACTTAAACATTGCCAGCTATTGTCAAGTGGGCTATTGCATCATTGATGCTGTCGTTTTAAATATTAAATGTATTAATGAGACACATACACTATGCAGTTTACACTAATTTACAGTATTTTTACTACGGTATGAAATGTAAACAAAATGAAATAAATGACGCATCACATGATTGTTTAACTTGTTAACTTTATGGAAAAGAGAGGGAGTGTTGAGTGGGTGTTATGGAAGTGTAAAAAGAAAAGCTATATAGGATTCATGGTGTTTTTTTCTTAATTCAAGGATGCGACAGTCATTAGCCGGGAAGAGGAATGCCCTCAAGAACAACAACAACCGGCAACAGAAGCAGAAGCGTGTCAACGCCATCTCGCAGGGCCTACTAGACAAGCTACCTGGAAAGCAACGTAGGTAGCCGGCGTGTCGGTGGTGGCTGGAAAGGTTGGTTGGCCGGCTGACCAGGCTACTGAACATGCATGCCATTACTAATGCCACCAACTATTCTTACCACTACTGAGTTTGCGCTGTTTAACCTCCATTGTGAATACTAATTAATATGCATGTTTGTTAAATAGAAATGATAAAATGTTTAATGGTTTGATAAACAATTTATCATGTTAGATCTGTTCTTTGCACATCAGTTTTCATACAAATTTATTTAAAAAATTATGTAAAAGTAATTGTTTTCGTATATTTATTGCAAAATACTCTTTTATTCTTATTGCAGCTGTGGATTTGACTTTTTTACTTGAATGTCCTGGCAAAAGACAACGCAAGAAGCCAGTAACAGAAAGCTTCATCTAAATGTTTTAGAGCTAATTTCTTGCCCTTGTGTAAATTATTGTAACTTTACTTATCAGCTTTGTAACTAGACACCAAATTTATTCATGATTGTAATTATTTTTATACTGTGAATGAAGGATACAAATATGAATATAGAATTTAAACAAGGCATACAGCTATTGGAATAAAATCCTATTGTCTTGAGCGTAACATTGGTTGTATAGCTTAGGTATCATACAATTTTGACTATGATTTTAGTTATCAAAAATATTATTATTATTATTATTATTTCAAATTTTAACACTTTCTGTGTTATGAAGAAATTACCTGGTTTACAATTATGTACTGTTTTACCAAAATGATGTAAATGTATTTGTATAGAGGGCATTTGTCTATGTAGGGTGTACACTACTGAGGGCGTTTTTTCAGCAGTTGTCTTGCCATTTGAAAGTTTTTTCTGAAATGCAACTAAACAGAGGTTGAAAGTTTAAACGAGGTTGAGAATATAGGCTATTGTAAAAATTGCTTATTCACAGATTTTATCAGAATTTTATCAAGATTTTAGAATTTTATGGAATATAGATAAATATGAAATCTGGACTGACTTGATTAGCTTGAAAATTAACTTCAAGGATCAAAGATTTTAATTTTGATTGAAATGCCTTGATTGATAAATCAATATCATTAATAGTGAAATAGAAAATTACTGTATGTTAGTATTTCATGGCAATAATGAACTTAATTCAGAAAAACATGTCGTGTATTTAAAAAATTGTTAAAATATTGACATGGTGCTTCGAATTGTCATGTGATCTTATTTATGTATATGTATATGCTCACGTGATTGGCTGTTAGGCAATGTATCATGTGAACGCTTTGTAGTAACAATATACTAGATGTTTTTTGCTTATTTTTTTCATGTTTGAAATTGTTGCTTTCAGATTATAGATTGAGGTAGAACAAAGACAATATGCAGTGAATGTTGAGTAGAATAAAAGGGTTTTATACCCATGCAAAATAACATCCACCGATATTTCGTGGAGAGTATTAATATTTTAATGATACCTCTACTGTTTTCAAAAAGATGCTTTTTTTGGTCACAGCTCTTGATATTAAAGTCTTTATAATGTACCAGTGCATTTATTGATAGCATTCCATGGGTTATATCTAATTAAAATATCCTTTAATTTATTATTTAGTTGTGTTTTTTGTTTTTTTTTTCTGTTAGCTATGCACAAACTATAACACAGGGTTGAGGCTTATATCTTACATTAATGTACAATCATTTATGTTCATTTTTAGCAGTTTGGTTTGACTATTTTTTAATTAGATACAAGTTCTATCTGCCATTACACGTCTGTGTACGATGATGAATCTGCTTATGCTCTGTAGACTTGTATGTAGCGACATTTTAACATTACTACTTTCATTTGGAGTACATGGGACTGTGTAATGAATTAGAAACTACTCAAGTAGTGTACTACTAACAATCCCTGAAATGGCCAAATTGTTTATTTGATATACAGTTGACGTTGATTAAGATATGTATAGATATAAGATATCCTTGCGCATTGACTTTCATTGTAAACAATTAAAATAATCATGATAATTCTGCCAAAATGTTAAGATTTTATCGCTTATGAATTTCAACGTTTAGCTTGAAGATAATTATATAATTTTTTTGTTTATTTTTTAAATAAAGGTATATATATTTTCTTGCTTGGTAATACTGTATTCTATATCAAAACTATTTTATTGTACATGTTAATTGGTAATTACTATAAGTATTACAGCAGCCACTTAGTTCAGGTTCTTGTATACGTGCAGTGTGCTCTTTGATTCGAAATAAAATCAAGTGTGAGCTTATTCTATTTTAATTCGTCATTCATTTTTTGTGGCCAATGATTTGAGATTCTGTGAAGATGGTAGCATGATGATGTATGTGTGATAGCAGATTTGTAACTGGCTCTGCCAAAACAAGGCACTTGTCAAAAAACGAATGTCTTCAAAATTAGCTAAAATTCCCATTTATTGACCATATTCTTAATTCATTTAGGCATACTTAAAAACTAGGTCTGTAGGGAATTCGAAAAGTACTGCGACAAAATGAAGGGGAGGATCCAGGATTATTTTTGCTCGGTGAGGTTGGGTGTGGAGATGGACTGAATGCTAAATGAGGATATTTTGCACATAAGGTAGCATAAAACATCAACGGCAGTTAATGACATTCTTCAAGATGACTATTCATACAAGTAACATCAATCTATTATGCAATCAAATATATTGTGGTCTAAAATTGAATGTAATATAATGTTTACTTGCGACCACATGCCTATGTAAAAAATCCTCCTCTATTTTCCAATAAAATGCGATTCAATAAAAAATCTGAATGAGTACCTATACCCTGTGTACACAACAATATGAATGTTTTTGGTTCTTATGCTTTCAAGCAAAGGAACCTTTATACATATACCCCTTCGTGTATATGTATGTGACATGTATGTGAGATGTATGTTGCGCTGTTTTTGTAAACAGGCAAAAGTTACTTTCCAGATACCTGTTCGTTACGAACGTCCTTAACGTAACGTACCCAAGCTAAACTGGATATGACGTTGTGCCCTATTTAATAATTTTCTATTTTGACAAATATTAGACCATATGAAAGACAATACCCACTACCCTTGAAAAGACTAGTATGATAAGAGGAAAACATTAGTATGTTGTTTACTTTCGTTGTCCAACTGTCTCAAATGTGATGGATTGGACTCTAGGGACTTTCCTGGGTAGTATGGACAGAAAACTTTATCTACACTCCAAAAACTTCAGTTTTATACTGTGGTTTAGATAAGGTTCTACAGACACAGCATAGAATTGTGTTTTGATATTGACAGGATAATCCTTTTGCAGCTTCTATCGGAAGGTAGACTAAGTGTGTACAGTACATTATAGTGAAACCATTGTTGGCTCTGACCCATAGTAAATGTAGGGCCCCCACCAGACCTGTCAACCCCACCCCTCCCCAACCCACAGCAAACAGAGCTTGTCGGGCAGTTGGACTAAAACAATACGAATAGTCCATGCCAAGCCAACACATGTCTGTCACAGTCTGAGTGTCATTTCTGGCCATCCAGAGGTTCCTATTCTAAAAAAAAAAAAAATCCCATTTTGAAGGGGAATACCCTCTCAAAATCTTCCACAAGCTCCGGCCTACGAGCTCTAGTCACCCTGCTGTTGGACAGCTCGGCCCCCCAAAAAAAATATATCCTACAGCCGATAATAATAATAAATAATAATAATAATCCCATATTATTATTATTTTATTATTATTATATTATTATATTATTATTATTATTATTATTATTATTATTATTATTATTATTATTATTATTATTCAGTAGTGCAATATTTTACGCATGCCCGCACAGAAACCTTGGCCCTCGCAGAGGTTTGGCTTTTTTTATTTAAACAATAATATTTTACACATTTAAGATTATATTATTTATTCACTTTCCTTGTCAGAATATAGTCTTGATCCTTTTATCATCTACAGTATTTCAAAGATTTAAAATATAAATATACTGTTTATCAGTCCAATCACTAATTAAATACTATTACGCATGAAATCTGCATTTTAATTGCATTGAACGTGACATCAAAATTATCACTTTTTAATATTGTTCATATATTATATATAATATTATATATATATAT